CCCTAGAGGCGCCTCTCTCATATATGAGTACAGTGTAGCCCTGCTAACAACCCGCATGGCCGGCGTGGGGGAAGAGGAAAATTAGCAAGTATGAGCAGTCATGAAACTGCGCATGCACCGTCCAATGCTCGAGAACATGCGAACCGAGAACCATGGGCAACACATGATGGTAGGCCGTTGCATGGCAAAATGCGAACCTCATTTTCCCAGTTGACACGTTGTAGACGTATTTATGTGATGTGTAGCTAGACTGGCATGCAACCAAAAAGTAGAGAAGAACAAACCTAAATTAGGTGCTTTGTAGAATTGCAAGTAGATGGTAGACCAGTGAATATAGGCGACGAGCAAACGCTTGTGTCTGTGTATGCATTGTTGCATGTCAATAAAGCTTGGCGAGAGGCTCGGCTTCGCAGCTGGGGTTCGCCACTGCGTGAACTGCATGTGTCCCGGCCAGACATAGGTTCGGCCGTGAGCATTCGGTTTCCCGAGATGCCCGAAGGCTGTGTAAGTATTGCATGCTGTTTCAACGCAAGAAAGGGCTTCGAAAGTTGCCCTCCCAAGGTAGGACTCATGCCACCTGATTGAATGGGATGTATTTTAAGGTGCGAGCGAGGCTGACCGTGAGCCTACGTGTCAAGGCGAGTAGGCGCAAGGTCTCGCCCTATGGAATGGGAGCAGACCCTGTCAGGACGTCCTCCGATTTCTGCATGGCTTGGGCTTCCTGCAGAACACGATGCCGAGCTCCAAAACGCGGCTATTGTCGGCCTTAGCAAGCTGACTTGAAATCGAGGACCAAAGAGCAGCACCGGCCCCTCACCGAAGCAGAGCCCTCAGGGCCTCAGGGCAGGGCCTCAGGGTTCTGCTTTGCAATGAGCCACCTTTCACTTCAGGTGCTCTCGGGCTCCGAGGGGGACGCTGTCAACAACCTGCTCAGCCTCAGCCCCGAGGGTTCGAAGTTTCCAGGATCTGCTTCGTCCGCTCCTGGCTCAGACCCTTTGGGGAGTGGCCTATCTCAAGAAGAGCCTCCGGAGGAAGAAAACCCGAGTGAGGACGTCCACTTCTGGAAGTCTACTGAGAAGTCTCTCTCAGTCGCTTTTAAGAGACTCCAGGATGACGAGGGCTCCGGCGGCAGCGCAGCGCCCGAGGAGGACGAGGCGCAAAACGGCCGCTTCCGTGCTTCCGCTGCTCCGTGCTTTTCCGTTCGCCTTCGGAGGACGTCGGGACCAAGCAGCTTCCCGGGCTTTCCATCAGCTTCATGCCCAAGGGCTCGCTGCTAGGCCCGGCCCGGCCCGGCTCAAAGGCGAGGCACTGCGCGCCGCCCTGGCTCACCAGGCGGTAGTGCGAAAGATGAGAAGAAGAGGAAGGACAAGGCCAAAGACACCAAAGACGTCTTCTTGGTGCAAGCTGCGCAAGCTTCAAAGTCGCCTAGCACAGGAAAAGAAGGATAAGAAAGAGGAGAAGGAAGTCCGCACTCCGGTTACGGCCCCGGTCCCTGATTTCGTGCCTAATTTCCGCACACTCGGACAAGCAGGCCGAAGACCTGGGCTGCATCAACTTGATGGTCGACGTCGTCGAAGTCTTGAGAATTCTGGCCCAGGTTTGTACCCGGATCCGTGGGGCAGCGCCTCGAGCTTCGAAGCCCTGACCTCTACGGAGGTGTTTTCACCTGCTGTCATGGAGACCTTGCACTGGGAGCCTGCTCCCCAGACCCAAGACGAGGTGAAGCCCAGGTGAAGACGCGTTAGATTCCGATAGATGGTTAGATTTGCCGACTTACTCTCGAGCTTCAGCTTCCTGTGTTAAGGCCGGACAACTTTAAGGAGGCGTGGTGCAGGTTGCCATGTCCAAGACATGTACAGATTCGCTGTGCATGGAACCTTCGCAATTTTGCTATTCTGCCTCCTCCATCTTGCTTTCGTGAGTCTCGGCTTGCTTTGACAGAAGGGCTGAAATTTTGGCTCTGTAGGTGCGTGAGGCTGTCCCGCAGTTGTGTTGCGCCTTCGCTTGCTATTGTGCAGGCTGAGGTTCATTATTCGTTCGCGCTCCGACTTTGCTGCTGCGAGTGTTAATATCGGTGCGTTTCAACCGACTGAGCTGGGAGGCCAACACGTTCCAATTTTTTGTTTGTTTTGCTTGTTTGATCTACGTCGCACTCTTGCAGGCTAGTGGGCTGGACGAGAATGTGTCCATTCTGGAGCACCTCGATACCAACTTTTTCCGCTTCAAATGCCGGATTAACTGCCAAGTTTCAACTGACTGTCAGGTTCATGGAGACAGAGGTGACATTCGTGGCGGGACTCAGGAACGTCTTTGTGTCAGGAGCGCTCCGGGAGATGCGCAGCTTCCACTTTGGTCCCTAGGCCGAGTTCATGCGACTTCTCGTGGTCGCCCCATCGCTAGGGCTTGCCACTTCGCTGAGAGCACTGTTGCTTCGCGAACTAAGTTCCTGCTGGCGGAGTTCACGACGCGAAGGGACTACAAGTTTGGCGCCCGTTTTGCTACGGTTCGTTCGAACGTTGCTGCTGGTTTGGGCAGGTTTTGCAGGAGCGTGTCCTTGACCACCCGGCTTGACGTCTTCCTGAAGAATGTCTCCCACCGGCATTAGTGGTCATTTGGATGCTGGTGGGACGTTTGCATGGGTAGCAAAACGTTGCAGCATGCCCCGAGAGGTCATCTCCTTCTGCCAGAAGGGCGGCAGGTACGCGCCGCCCGACACTTCGGCGTCCGCCGCTGGCAGAGAGCTCAGAAAACTGCATGGATGCAGTACAAAGCCCAAAACAGAGGCCTGCTCCTCTTGACTGAGGCGAGAGCCGAAAGCGACCCGAGGCTGCTGGAGCCCAGTGAAAGACTGCGCCGCATTGTTCGCTGGATTTTGAGGCGAAGGCTGAAGAAGCTCCCGCTCCGGATGCTACCGGCGAGGCTGCGGGGCGACCGGGCTTGAGTGAGTGATGTGTGAAGAGAGCCGAGAGAAAAAAAACCGCGCAGGAGCAGTGGCTCGGCTTCGACGTCGAGGGAGAGAGCTGCGCCTTGCGGAGGCATAAGCGCCAAGAAGGCTGAGCGCGCCACGGCTCGGGGTCGCTGCGAGGTGGCCGGAAGGCTATGAGAATGAGGTCGCGGACTGGTGAATTCACAGCGAGTTGTTGGCCGTTTCACCATGCCACACAAGTTTCACCGACGAGTTTCACTCGAAGCCATACAAGCTCAAGCGCTCTGCAACTTGTTCCATGTAGCCCACAGTATATATATATATCCTTCCGTGTACAAGGCTTCTCCTGTTCAGATGAGTCCCCTGTTCCACTCAAGGCTCAAGCACTGAACTCCAAACCCGGGCCCCTATGATCCCTATGTAAACCCGACACCCTGTAAAGCCTGTGAGCCTCTAAATCCCCAAAGTCACTCCAAAGTAGCTCTGCGAAGCATTGCAACAAGCGAAGAGCGTGTTCCACCAATACCTGTCGAAGGCAGCTCGGAGGAAAAAAAGGCTTGTCCTCACAGTCTCGGAAGGCTGTTGGAAGCCGAAGAGGTCACAGGGATAAAAAGCAACATGACTCTATAGAGGCTTGTGCACACGGAAAATGCTATGCCGCGATGCTTGGCCTTAAGCCTTAAGCCCTCTGCTAGGGGGGTCCTGGGGCGTCTCGGGATGCAACCCTCCAGCCTTGCTGTTTTCAGAGGGCTCGGGTCTGATGCACGAGATGCCGGCAAGAAGCCGCTGTCAGCACGTTTCGGGTTTCGACGCTTCTGGGGCTGCCATGAGGGTCTCGGCCTCACTGCCTTGGGGCTGTGCTGGCGGCGTGTGAGAGCAAAGCAGCCTCCGCGCGCCGCGCGAGAAGGATGCCAAGCTGCGCTTCACGCTTCGCATCTGAAAGAAATCCAGGAGCTTCTGCAGCCGATGATCAGCGAGAGGCGACTTGACAGGGCAAGAAGAGTCTTGCAAAAGAGAACTCAAGCCGTGCGGCTGGTCTTTCTGCGGCAAAAGCCAGCTGACGTACTCGCGGCTCTTCGGACCATGGATCAGTTCTCACTTCAGTTTGCCGAGATCATCGGCGAGCTGGAAGACGACTTAGAGAAGCCGGGCGATACATCCGGAGGATCCCGGAACTTCGTCACTGTGCGCCAGTCGCCGGACCTGCAAAGCTGCACCCAGTCCCTGCGCAAGGCGCTGGCCAGTACAGCGACACCCTCCGAAGAGAAAAGAGAGTCGGGAGAGATAAAGAAAGACCGAAGGAGTGTAGAGGGAACTGAGTCGAGAGTAGTTCTTGCGGCGAATGCAGGCGGGCCATCTCTGCGTGTGTCTTCGCGGTGGCGCTGTGCTCTCGGCCGAGGGTCTTCAGACGGAGGCGGAGGCCTCGGCCAGGCTGAGTCACGGGCTCCTCCTTCGCGGGCAGCTTCGTGGGCGGGCTGAGGCCTCCCTGGCTTCGCTGAAAGTCTGCGAGAGGCAGAGCTCTACATCCGGAGAGCTTTGGCGGCTCTGCTCGCCCCTCTCAGGAGGCCGCCAAAGCTCGCCGTTGTCTTCGGAGAAGAAGGCGGAGTCGAAGAGGACATGAAACACCGTTGCTGGCTTTGGCTCACGCGACGATGTGACAGGACCGCAAAAATTACGACATGCAGGCCCGCAGAAACTTACAGAATTTCGACTTCTCTGACTTTTTGGTCCTGGTACATGTGCTAGGTTTCCTTGCCTCAGCGCGGATTCGCGTGTGGCCTCTCTCTGAATGTCACCGTGGCCATGGTCCTCGTGCACCTCAGGCATCGAGCGATTGCCATCGCTTTTCCGTCCTGTGTGTCGGACCAGCAGCAGCAAATTCGAAGTGGCGGTTCCTGTGCAGGTGTGCCGGCCTTCTGAGCGGGCACTCGCTGTCCTCTTGGCAGCGCGACCTGCAAGGGACCCGGTGAGACAGGTCGTTGAAGGCCATTTAGGGCCTGGTGCCCTTGGCAGGCTTTGGACTCAGTGGTTGGTGGAACTCCATGGCCGCGAAAGCTCAATGGCTCTTCTGCAAGAGCGAGGCAGAGGGCGCGTGGCACGCGTCGCGTGGGCCTCTTTGATCTGATCCTGTTTATTGTCATCGAAGGTCTGGCCTGGCAGGTCGAGTTGCTTTCCGAGCTGGTGCAAGAAAGACCCAAAGACAACGAGCTTGTGCCCTTTATGCTGTGAGCAATCGACCAGCTTGATTATGCATTTTCGCAGCCGCTTTAATTCAGTGCACTTCGTCGAGAATACGTCCTGAGTCCGCAGCTGACCCTGCGACCGAGAGCACAAGTGTTAGTCGGGAAGCCGAAGCTTGTCTTGTTTTCACCCGTTTAGTCTCCTTCTGATGCTGCACAACTCAGACGTCTGGGATAAAGAAGGTTAGATTAGATCATGCACCGGCTGTCATGACAGCCAGCCGCCATGGCGAAAGCGTTGTTGGCATCCATTCTGATCGATGTTCCGTCGGCTTCAGGACACTCATCTAGCTAGTGAAAAGATAGCAGTGGTTCTTGCCGATGGGGGGGGAGGGGGGGAGGGGGGGGGAAGGGGCACGTGCGGTGCTCCGTCGCACAGACAGGCCAAATCCATTGACTCGGTGCCTTCCTGTAGAGACGCCCGAAACTGCTCACCATCATGGGTGCCATTGTTCCACTCGTGCTGGAAGTTGTTGTCTGTGTGTCTGTCACGGCTCCTATTCAGGATGCTGCTGTGGAGCACAAAGCTCAGATTCAGTGCATCGTTGTAGCAGTCCGGTAGTAGACTGTCAATGCTTCCATACGGAGTGGGTGCATTCCTGTAATCCCGGCAGTCGAGGTGTGGACGCAAGAGTTCTGGCAAGATGGCAACGCAACCGACGAAGAGAGGGAAGGTTTGTTTGAGGACAGCGCCTTAGATGCTTAGACCCAGTCTCACTGTGAGGCTGAACAGTCTCCCCCCGAAGTGCCGAGGCGAGTCTCAGACCTTTCAAAAACAGGCGGGGTCACACTGCAATGCAGCTGAGCTTCAGATGCTGCTCCCTTGGTGAGCAGGGGCTCAGCAGCTCTGATGCAAAAGAGGCCGGGCTCAGGCTTAGAAATTCATGTGCCTAGTTGCCCATGCCTTCTGGCTTGGATGGATCCTTGAAGGCTGTTAAGCTACGAGTGCCCATACGGGCAAGCATTGCTTCTGGGTTGCACTGCGTTTTAACTGAGGGTGGAAGTGGCGCTGAGACCTTTTCGAGGCCACTCGATGTAACTTGGCCAGCTGTCCCTGAAGAGCTCACAGACATGGTGGAGCCCTTTACCATCCTCAAGTTCTTTGCGGTGGAGGGGCCCCCAGCCCTTGCGATAGCCCAAAGCCCTTTCCTGTGTCCTGATGCCCTGCTGCGGGGAGGTCTACGCGTACTTGCCCTGGATTCCGGCTCCTCGGCTGCAGTATGAGAGTTCTCACCGGCGTCCATACCGCAACTGCAGGTCCGAGTTCGCGGGGTCTTTCTTGTCTGCATGGTGAAGAATGGTCTCGCTTCCGCAGCTGCTTTGGATCATGCACCTACGAATGAATCATGTGCTAGCGAGGCACAACATATGGACGTACTTGACCTTTGAGAACAAAGCACAGCCCACGCTTCAAGATCAGACTCGGCTTGGCCCATGAAGTGCAGCCTCCAGCCAGCTGAGTGTCGCAGACTGTGGCTGCGCTGCCTGGTCGTGTCGAGTGCTACCTTCATGTGCAGTTTGGCTGGGAACGGATTCTGCAGAACCTGGGCGCAGAGACGCGGCGTCGAGCAGAAATCGCACGATTTTCGCATCATCTCCAATGCCAAAGGGTGCCTTCTTGGCATTGATCATTGGACATCAATGGTCCGTCCGTCCGTCTAGCTTTCCACTTGCACGTCTGTTGTCTCTCTTTAATTTCGTGACGTGTGGATAAAGCTGCACCTAAGTATGTAAGTATATAAGTGCGCAAGTATGTATGTCAATGTCCAGTTATTTATTTGTGCTTGTTTGCTAGTCTCGTCGAGTCGAGTCGGGCGAGTCCAGTCCAGTCTTGTGCCGTCTTGCACTGCTCTGAGCTGCGGTGCGCTGCGCTGAGTGTAATGCATTGTATTGTAGTGTAGCGCATTGAAGTTCATTGTATATTAGTATATCAGTATATTGTATGTATATATTATACGAACATGGCTTGTGGTACGCGTGTATGGATGCATGGACGTACATGCATGTAAATAAGTAAGTAAGGAAGTAGGCAAGTCAGTAAGTAAGTAAATATGCTTGGATGATCGCGCGGGGTTAAGCTTAGTAGAAGTTAAGCTACTTATGTAAGACTTAGACCTATGGTTATAGAGTTTATAACTAGTAACATAAGTGGTTGCACAAGTGTTAAGCAATAGGTTACATAAACACTTATGTAAGAACTTGTGCAGAATGCTAAGTATTTC